CATCAGCAATGAGTGCCCTCTTTGAAACAAATATCTACAGATACGACATAAGTATAACGTGTAGCCTGGTATTTCTTTTCTCACGATATGATGCTACTAATCGAAATGCTACTGTTCGTGGCAGCTGTTGCAGAACATTGGAGTTACAGTCTAAATGTATACTGCTTTCTCTGAAAATTGCAGTAGATTTAACCGAGAACAAACCTAACTTAGTAAGTTATTACTAAGCTTGTAAACATTTCGTTGGTCGAACGTCCTCTCATCAAGCACCGAGGTTCACAACATGCGAAAACTAAAAGCTGATCCTTGTAGCAATTCTGATGCTTCTGGGGCAGAATGTCCATGCACCCTGATCCTCACCGGCCAAAGGAGAGCGAGTTCCGGACCGAAATGGTGGCATTATAATCTGTCGCCCAACAGATCAACAATTTTCTGTGTGCATTTAACCGGATTTATGCTGTATTTCAGAATGGCAATCGACACATGAACAAAATACACTGTGCGCATCGTTACCGTTCATTACGCAAAACAAAGCTTAATGATTGACTGCTGGAAATAATTTCACAAAACAATTCAAAATACACGGCCGGTGAATCATGAATAAATGCGACAGGTAATTTTTAACGCTGAACTTCATGACGTGCGAAAAACGGCTTGGCTACGTTCTGCAATTAGCGATTGATGACCAGGAGACCACGTGACAGTCACGTGCGATAGCACAGCAGCCGGTGAGCGGGACGACGGAGGTGTACGATAAGCAGCGATTCGACAAAGACCGCAGCCGAGGTCAGACAATGAGGCTCGTACCGCACTTGCTGGTCTGATCGGTAGGTCGTCGTGGTCGTCGTCATACCTGAGCGCTGTTCGAAGCTTGGCGTGCCGCACACGTCGAGCCTGCATGTCCCGTGGCAGATGTGTACCGCCGATGGTTACCGCATGTTATGATGGGCGATGATGGATGCGTGACAGACAGAGAACTCGCACCGCGCGAGGCAACTCAAGCAGTCTTCCCTCAACTGATTTCCCGTTCAACCGAGAGCCGCCTGTGCTCAGCAGCTGCTGCGGCGTATACCGACGGCGGTGGTGGAACTTATGATCACCATCGTTGTCGTCACTGGCGTTGTGTTACGATTTTGAGTGACTCATCATCGTTGTGCATGATGAAGATCAATCTCTCGCCGGTCATCCGAGCATCCACCACAACCGACACCGACTTCACAACAGCGACTTCTCGCACCAACGCCCTCCATCCCCGCAACTTGAGCCGTCTTGTCTTCGGCGACTCCCGTTTCCTGCGGACCCCGTTTCGCACAACCGTGCAGCAATTTATGAAGTCATCCTTATGTGTAATTTTGGCTTTACTACTGGTAATTCTGTTCTTATGTTTTGCATCATGCTTTTTCACGTGTTCGAAAACAGTAACAACGAAATTAGTCCCAAATGTGCAATCGTTTCATCTCGCCTGGTG